GGCTGGGGATTCGAACCCGCCACCTTAGGTGTATGTGGCTGGCGCCTTAGGCGCTTGAGCCACAGGCGCCGAGCCTGGATTGTAACTTTCTTAAGATAGCTAACAATTAGTTTCATAATAGTGTTGAGTACATTGGATACTTTTTCTTCCATTCTTGAGATACTTGGCTAAGGAGGACATTTTCCAGCTCCATCCATGTAAACATGAAGGAGGCAAAGTCTCCATCTTTCTTTGTGGCTGGGATCACCATGTTTAAGAAATGAGGAAGCTCTCTATTTACTGATCTGGAACAATCTCCAGGATAATAACCAAACAGGAGACGGTAAAATTAAAGTAATATATTTCTGTTTGTGTAAAAGGGGATATATTATATATACATACACCTGTGTATATACATATACAGATGTGTACATATACACATACATGTAAACATTTTTGTTTGTATGTCATTAAATAACTCTGGGAGGATGCATAAGAAACTGATAATAGGCTTGGTGCCCATCACTCAGCAGTTAGGGTGCTGGCCACAAGCACCGAGGTTGGTGGTTCGAACCCAGCCAGAGGCTGCTAAACAAACAAATAAAAAATAGCCAGATGTTGTGGCAGGTGCCTGTGGTCCTAGCTACAAGGGAGGCTGGGGCAAGAGAATTGCTTGAGCCCAAGAGTTTGAGGTTGCTGTGAGCTGTGACGCCATAGCACTCTACTGAGGGTGACATAGTGAGAGACTATCTCAAAAAAAAAAAGAAAAGAAAACTGATAATAAATACTTGTTGCCTCTAAGGAGGGAAATGAGGTGGCTGCACACACACATATATATTTAACTTTTTAGATTGTAACCATGTGAATTTAATAGTTCACTATTCAATACCTATTTAAAGAATAAAGACAGGTTAATAAATAAAATAAATAAAGTTAACCTTTAAGCCCTGCACAGCCTTCCAGTAGGGAACATGGTTAATTGTATTTGCTCACTTCCCTGCGTGCTATCCAGGACAACCTGCTTTCTGTGGGCTGCACTTGGAGTCACACTTACCAAAATGTTGTCCCACCTGCTCCCGTCCCACCCACTCGGATTTCTTCTCTCTGCATTGTATTTCTGATATTTGGCGAGAAACAATTATGTGGAGAACAATGAATGATGGTATAATGATTAAAACTTTAGTTTTGGAATTAAAAATTTTAAACTAATCTACGGTTACCTGTGAATTGCTTCACACTTCAGGTCTGTGTTTCCTAACTGGTGCGTTGAAATTGGTATCTTCAACTTTGGATTATTTGGGATAAGGGCCAGGGGTGCTAGAACTCTCAGGATGGTGGCTCCTTCAAGAATCCTAGCCCTTGACTCCAGTATACTGTGTAAATATTATTATTTTCCATTTGTGCTGTAATGTGGAAAGGTTCATAAATACTACTCTAGGTAAATTGTGGTCTTATATTTTAAAAATATATGCTGGGTAAGAAGAATCATGGAAAACAAAGGAGTTGTCTGTGGGAAAATCCCAGTGGTGGTTCTGCTCCAGTGTGGGAGTTGTTTTCTACTGGGAAGCTTATGGGGAGGATGGTTACGACCAGGCACCGCCTGGCAGGGCCCAAAATGCTGGCTCATTGTCAGTGGCCCCCACACAGGTCTGTTGGAAAAGACAAAAGAGGCGCATTGTAGGAAATGGTCTTGCATTTACTCTGTTACTAAGAAGTAAATCATCAGAAAACTTGAAATGTTCACCGTATGTAAGAATAAAACCTTTCTGGCCTACCTCATACCTTACATAGCAGTTGAGAATTGCTGTCCTCCAAGAGTTAAGTGAAATTTTATATCATGGCTAGTTGCGTATGAGCTAACTTCAAACCATCAAATAAGAGAGAGATTTTTAAAAGTATTAGTGACCAGTAAAAGAAAATGTCATTTAAAGGATATCACATGCAATATATAAATAAGAACTCTTTGAAGTTCAATTTCTGTATTCACGGATGTGTTGTTTTGTTGCGTCCTGGTACGTTTGCCGATGTTAGTAATACTGTCTGTTCTTGATGTTTTCTGGAAAAGTAACTGATTAGTATGTCAGTGTAGTACTATCTGAAGAAATCCAAGAGCTGTCAAAATGCTTAAAAATAAAACGATCAATTGTTCTTTTGTTCTCTTGCCAGGATAATTGAAGCTATCTGCATAGGTTGGTTCACTGCAGAGTGCATCGTGAGGTTCATCATCTCCAAAAACAAGTGTGAGTTTGTCAAGAGACCCCTGAACATCATTGATTTACTGGCAATCACACCGTATTACATCTCCGTGTTGATGACAGTATTTACAGGCGAGAACTCTCAACTCCAGAGGGCTGGAGTCACCTTGAGGGTGCTTAGAATGATGAGGATTTTTTGGGTGATTAAGCTTGCCCGTCACTTCATTGGTCTTCAGACACTTGGTTTGACTCTCAAACGTTGTTACCGAGAGATGGTTATGTTACTTGTCTTCATTTGTGTTGCCATGGCAATCTTTAGTGCACTCTCTCAGCTTCTTGAACATGGGTTGGACCTGGAAACATCCAACAAGGACTTCGCCAGCATCCCTGCTGCCTGCTGGTGGGTGATTATCTCTATGACTACAGTTGGCTATGGAGACATGTATCCTATCACAGTGCCTGGAAGAATCCTTGGAGGAGTTTGTGTTGTTAGTGGCATTGTTTTACTGGCATTACCAATCACTTTTATCTACCATAGCTTTGTGCAGTGTTATCATGAGCTCAAGTTTAGATCCGTTAGATGTAGTAGGAGCCTCTCCGCTGAGTTCCTCAATTAGTGCAGTGCAAACCAGTTCTTGCACACACTCCATAGAGAATTGATGCTGCTTCACATGCATATGTTTCTTGCTGGGTGACCAAGCAGCGGCATTGTCATCAGCTTGATGGCAGAAATCATCCTTCCCAGCTGAAAGGAAAAAACAATTTACTTATTATGGAGTAAATAGAATTGAGACTGCAAAGGGAGATTAGAGACGCCTAGAATAAACTTCAGGACCTTATTTTTTTTTACTAAGACGAGGTTTTGCTGTATCACCCAAGCCGGGCACAAGTGGTCCTCCTGCCTCAGCCTCCTGAGTAGGAACTACAGGCATGTGCCATCCACTGGGCCTGGTTTCTAGGACTTTATTTTATTTAGACTTGTTTCCTCCTTACCTTGCACAATTACACATCATGTTTAAGTACATTATTGGATCATTTTAAAACAGGTACTATTTTCCAAATGTTTTCCCATCTTAGGAATTCAGAAGAAGCTTGGAACTTACAGTGTTGTTTTTTGTTTGAGAGTAACATTTTCATTTCTAAATGTTTTATAATTTCTCATATCAATGTCAGAAGTATCTTGGAAACATATGTCACATGCAGGAACTGTTTAACAAATACTTTAAAAAATTGGCCAAAACTTAAATTGTATAATGGAGCTAGATACAAAGCAAGGCTAGTATTTGAAAAACTTTCTCAGCATACTTCACAATTCTCTGCTTTATTTTTATGCCTATGATTCACCTTATCATATAGCTTCATGGATGCTTGAATGTGTTTTTCCTTTTCTTTTTTTATTTTTATTTATTTTGTAGAGACAAGGGTTCACTATGTTGCCTAAGCTGGTCTTGAACTCCTGGTCTCAAGTGATTCTCTTGCCTTGGCCCCCCAAAGTGCTGGGATCACAGGTGTGAGCTACCATGCCTGGCCACCTTTTCCATTTTGGATTTTTAAACTCTCTTTACTGAAATATTCAGAAAAGTATTTAAGACTTAAAGAGAGCTTATATTGTTTAGAATTTAATTGAATAATATTTGAATTCATTGTTGTTACTCAGCGATAATTGTCTTCACATTCAACTGTCCAAACAAGAATATTTCTAACATAAAAAAGATAATAGAAATAGTTTGATATGGCTCAGCATCCGTAGCTCAATGATTAGGGCACCAGACACATGAGCCATGGCTGGCGGGTTCAAGCCCAGCCTGGGCCTGCTAAACAACAATGACAACAATAACAACAAAAGAAAAAATATCTGGGCATTGTGGCTGGCACCAGTAGTCCCAACTACTTGGGAGGCTGAGGCAAGAGAATCACTTGAGCCCAAGAGTTTGAGGTTGCTGTGAGCTGTGATTCAACAGCACTGTACTGAGGGCAACATAGTGAGACTCTGTCTCAAAAAAAAAAAATAGTTTGATAATACTCAATATTTCAACCCATATTTATCTTCTTTTAACTTTCCCCCCCAAATACTGTGGATTCAGTAAAACTTACCAGATGAAAGGCTATTTGAGTAGCCTTTTTTTTTTCTGTGACCTTTATAGGGAAGTGTATTTATGTAGCTTTTTAATACCAAAGTTACACTTATGTGTAGTCACTGGACTATCATCAAAAGAAGAAATTAGATATTACTATACTCTAGTTGCTGTGTAGCTAAGTCAATTTTAAGCCAGGTAAAAGCAATGAATAGATAATTATTTGATGTGATCTTCACCATTGTGAATCAAACCTGCACCAAAATACTTTTTGTAAGAATACTGAATAATATACCGTATTAATCTGGTGAGATTATTAGACTAGGTAATGTAAAAGTGATGATTGTTTAGCAACAGGAATTAGAATTTTACTTTTTCATTCAGCTTGCCATAAAAATATCAGTGTATAAACATAAAAAATTAAAGATGTGGATCCATGAATAATTTAATGTTGTACACTGTAATTTATCAGGGTGAAAGAGACAGGTTGGAAAGTGGTGGGTAAGACATGGGACCTGGATATACTTATCAAAGAAAAGGTTACTTACCTAAGTGTTCATTAAAGGAATATTAGCCATCATCTCTAGTTCAAACCTTGACTATTATAGGTAGAAAACCAAGGGAAGAGAGGATTGATTGTGAAGAAGTTGAGGCTTAAAATCTGAATTTCCTGAAACCTCGCCCAGAAATTCATTCTTCGCACTCCTCTGAGTGTTGAGGAAAAAACCTTGAGAAATCACACTTCTTTGTCATTGTCAGGCCCAAGATATAGTAGCAAAGCCCTCTGGGCTTCCCTGATTACCTTTCCCGAGTTTATGTGATATTTTGTGATAAAGATCTTGCCCTATCTTCCATACTACTATTGGGATGCTCCTTTTTTGCATTCTCAGAAAACGTTCCATTATTTATTGTATATTTATTGTATTTTAATATAGCTGAAGTAAATGGCATGATTTATTTTTTCTTACCTATTTGGGGTAAAGCTTTGTGACTCATGCAAATAATGTGCAGATGGTAGCACCTCCACATTCTCAATAAAAATATGATAACCATCAATTTTATTGGTGGTTATCTCTTTATTGGTGGTGAACTCTTTATGTGACTATGTCTTCTCTTCCCAAGTAAATTATAACTATCTTGAAAGCTGAGACCCTATTTTATGCACATCCTTTATGTCCCCACAGTGTCTGTTACAGACTTGGGCACAAACTATTGACTGGCGGGGGGGAAAAAACTTGTGTGTGAGGAGGTAAGGAGAAGCATATCCCTGTACGTATAGATACGTAGCCCCCTGTGTGAATACACAGACTTTGTGCAGCCCTTAGGTAACGAAAAATCTCTTGCTGGTGATGCCGTATTTTTCATAGGACCAGTTTTCATAAAGAAGCATGTTGGATAAATGCTAATGGCAGTTCAGCTACCTCTTTATTAAGGAGATGATGAGACATGATAGAGTAGTTTCTTCACAAGTGAAAAAAATATATTCGAGTTTTGTCTTTGTGGATATTATAGTTTTTTAGGAACAGAGCATTTTCTTGTAACTTTCCCTGAGTGTTGCTTTGGTAAAAACCAAAATCACTAAGTAGCATTTCTATAGCTGTACTTTGAAACATTTCTCAGAACTCAGTCTTCATGGTGAAAATGTTATCACTGGGATTTATATTAGTACCATTAAGTCAGATGTTACCCTGAATTAAAGTACCCAAAGAAGAAAGAGGAAATCTGAATCTTTGTTCTGATCTTACCACACCAGACTTAACGTGTTATGTGACTTAATCTTATAGGTAACTTGTTTTGTACTCTCTAAAATTGGATATGTCAGCATTAGAAAACCAAAATTGGCTCGGCGCCTATAGCTCAA